TTGAAAATTAAAAAAAAAATATATAATTGGTGTCGATACCAAGGTTTGAAAAAATTAAATTTTTCATTAAAATTCTAAAATAATTGATAAAACATTGCCTTTGACCAAGTAAACTCAGCGAGTTTATGTATTTATATGAAGAAATTTTAATAATAAATATGTACGTCAAATTTACCAAATTGTAGGTAAATTGTAAATTGCTTTTTCAAACCCTATAAAAAACTTATTTAAAATTTTAATTTTAATTTTTTTAATTTTTTCGTTACTGTTTTAATTTTGTACGTAGAAGGTAGAACAAACTAAGAGGGGCCCCTTATAAAATTTAAATGTTGACATTTTAAGAGCCACCCTTATATGCATGCATAAATTTGTGCCTCCCAGTTATTATTTCTTGCGTAGACGTATACATATTTTTTTTTTTTTAATTAAATGCAGCTTCTTATTTAACGTTTCATACTTAATTTTGCACTCATCTAAGTTCATTTACTCGCCTTCCTATGAGCTTTTAATAATCGCTTTTTATCTATTTTGTTGTAAAATACTTCGATTACTTTTTCACCATTTTTCAACTAAATTTAATTTGTTTTGCATTTCTGTAAAGATCCGGTATTGCGAAACGAATTTGATTCGTTATTTGAAATTCCTTGGCAGTGCATACAGTCAAATTACGTTCAAGCTTCTGCCTAACTAGTAAGCTGGTTTACATGTGGATGAGTGATCGCTATCATATCGATTTGTATGTGTGTGTGTGTGTGTGTGTGTGTAATTATTTGTGACAGCAAAAACCAACAAACAAAATCAAAAATTCCAAACAATCAGCAACAGAAAGCATTTCAAGCCTCACATACATACATACATACATACATATGTACATAAGTGGCGATTGACTTCTGCTTACACAAATGAGCCCCTTCAACCACAGCCATTTTTATATATCATGTACATATGTATGTATGTATCGCCATATTTGTGGACTTACTTAACACGAGTATGGCTCACACTCAGCAGGCAAACAGGTAAGAAAGCACCGTGCAAGCAATCAAGAAGCTCAATTACACACTCAAACCTACATACATATGTATATGTATGCATCTATAAATTATATACTCACGCACACATAAATATGTGTAGGCTTGTGTATGTAGTGCATAGAAAAAAAAAATATTCCAACGTCATGAGCGAAAGTGAAATCTGCTAATGAATTCTTCAACGTTGAATAGTTTTCGGTAATTACAACAGACCCGACCAGTCCAGCAGTCCAATCCAAACAACACAAATCGGCTTTTAAGTTCAAGTCGAACTGTATGGGGAAATACGAGTTAACGGTACTGGTATAATTAATGTATGCATATAAGCATGTTAGTGTGTATGTATATGCAATTCCTTTTAAAATGAAAGATAGTTTGTTGTTGTTGTTATTGTTAAAGTCCAAACGAAAATTTTTGACAAAGTATGTAGAAGCGCAAATAAATTGAAAGCACTTTTTGCAAAGCAGAAGATTTATTGCGACCAAATACTCGTTTGCGGCTTGCACAGTCATTTGTGTATGCATGTATGTGTGTTGTCTTAAGTTCCACCAAACAACTATCACTTTCTTTCGCTGATTGGTAATGGAATGGAAATTTCCATGTAAACTTAAAATACTTTCGTACATCTTTTCTTCATAAACAAATAGTATGCGTTAAATAAGATATTTACACAAAGTTTTTGGAGAAAAATTTTGTTCATAAAAAAAATTCGAGAATCTTGTGTCCCTGCAGCGAAATTCCGAACTACTGAATCAAATTTCTAGTTCCGTACTAGATATTTATCGCCAAAAGCGAACCAGTCCGATAGTAGCTGGATCCCCGCCTCGCGTCTAAAAGCGCAGAAATGTGGTAGATACTTTTGGATTAGGTTAGGTTAATGTGGCATTCCGGGCAAAATACCAACTCGGTTAGACCCTGCAGGTCCATTGCGATACCACTGTGAAGCATAGTTCCGGGAGAGATCTGCTTTGCTCCTAGCTAAAGTTCGGCAACTGTAGAATTAGTGTTCGATCTTCGTGATCTGTGCAATTTCTACAAAATTCTTGGCAGTATACTCCTAATCTCGAATAGTGCCTTCCAAAGTGCAACCGTAAATATTATCCGGTCGGAAAACGGATTAACTCGGTTCAACGTGATCATAATACGTAACATTTTATTTCTTTGCTTCTAAGCCATTGTAGTATGTTTCAGGTAGCGATAGCTGCCACTAAGGAAGTAGTCGAATGGCTGTTACACTTTGAACTCGATAAGGCAACAGAAGAGTAAACATCCCCTCTGACAGTCAAGCGGCAATAAGGCCTTGTTGGACTTATTCATGAGGTACTGTAACGAATATGCCAGGGACAGCGTGGTCGTGCTTTTGACAGCATAAGCATGTCATGTCGTGGGTACCCAAATACATTCAGTGGTATTGTATGTAACTTTATTTTGAATGAGTAGGCTATAAGAAGTACCCTCGTGCCGGTCTCACCAGATAAAAAGATTGCGAGTACTACCTGGAAATTCTTTTTGGACAGGTTAACTTCATATCAACACAGCGAGCGCTGGATTAAATTCAAGATACATATGTGCTACCGTCGTATTCGACTGAGTCCGCGATGAAAGAGAGACAAGTAGGCGAAATGTGAATGGAATACACCCTGTGTAAGCTGTCGGGCGACTAATGAGTTAAAATCATCTCAATACTAACTCTTGACCTATCCAGTCTTAGCGAGAGTGAGTTTCAAACATCTTAGCTCATAACTCTCACCTTGAAACCCTGAACAGTTCTATGAACTGACGGTCGCCTGGCTTGTTTTTGGCTTACGGCTCATTTTCTTATCTGGAATTAACTAGGACCAAGTCAGAGCTTTAGTTGTCTGGAAGCAATTCTACCTGCAATGCTACTCCATAATTTTGCTCCGTTTCGATTGTTTTCATATGGATCTAATGGTACCTCATATCAATCTACTATCGTCACGTTACTTACGTACACCTTATGATGAGATCGGATCTCGGCTGCCCTGCTTGTAGCACTACTTTTACCAAAGCAAACTTTATTGCCTTCTTTATTGCTTCCATCTATGATGCCTTTGAACTTCTGATCTTTTGGCATCACAGCAAGGGCTTTTGTCCAGACTAAGCACATTAATATAGCCCTTTACGGTGCTGTTACTGAGGCCTCCTTCACCGCTCGTAGGAGCTTAGCGATCTGTGCTTTTTCATACGATTTGATATAGAAGTACTGACTTCGCCCTTAGAAGGACCTCCTTATCGGCAAGGGGACCAGACAACGATCGTTTTCCTACCACATGCGATAAAACTAGTCTTGTGGCCTGTGGCCATTCAGAGTAATCTCGACAGACGCCATTTACTGGGTGGTGAGTCCACTTCCTGATGGCATGCAAGCGCTAGGGGTTTGCGCTGCAGACCTCCCGGTTCATTCAAGTTTTTTGAGGGAAACAAGCCCTTGGACTTCTCGCATCAGGTCGTACCATGGTATTAATAATTATATGCGCGGTTGTACATACGTGTGCCTTCATTTTAGTCGGTCGTTGGTATCTTAGCTCTATTTAGTAGTCTAATAGTTGCTCTTGTCGGCCTTTCTTAAGGAGATATTTTCGACCAGTGATCTGCTCTAGCTATTTAAGGTAGATTATCTCCAGTTTACGAAACAATCGGCTCACGTCTAACCTGTAGGAAGAACCTTAAACCTTAGCCTGCGGATCCTTGATCCACAAATCAACGTAGTGAGGAAAGAGGTTTGGCAGAAATTGTCGGTGAGTTGGATATGGATATTCGGTTTTTTATATGGTGGCCTATAACATGGTTCAATTGCATTTTGGGGGCGGAATGATATTAAGTCTGCGATTTTTTACCTGAAATTCTTAGAATAAGTAGATAAAAATTTTGGGAACATTTAGTAAATTTCACGAGGAATAATTTTGTAGAATATTTTAACCCAATAGCTGTCTTACGGAAGGGTCATTTGGAGTCTTTGTGGAAAGTCTGAGTAAGATGGCATTTGGGAGTTTGCTAGAGGGTTAAAATGCTTTCACTAGGGCTTAACCCTACTTACCTCAGACAAAATCTTTATACAAGGAACGTGCATCCCAAATGCCATTTTATTCAGGCCTTCAAAAACCAAATTGGGGTCAAAACGACACATTCCTGAGAGAAAATGGGTTAAAATGTTCTAAAAAATTATTTCCCGTGAAATTTTACTATATGCCTCCGAATTACCTATTTCGCTCCGATATGAATTTTAACAGTTTCTTCTACTTATTCTAAAAATACTCATGCAAAAAATTTTAAACTTAATGTGGCAACAAAGTCTACCAGAGAATGCAAAAATATTTAGAGGTTTTATTGAATTGGTCTAGGTCTTACATCTTGATCATTCCGTCAATGGCCCTGAAATTGTTCCTCAGTGTTATAAATAGAATAGAGCTGTTCTTTTTGATACCACTTAAGTATTGAGAAGGAGTCAACTAAAAAACCAAACCGACTTCAATTGTCGTACAAAAATTTAAGATTATCGTTAATTTCTTTCTTTTTTCTAAAAAAAAAATATTCCGATGAATAGATAACCTTCTCCTTTTTGTGAATTGGATTAAAAAGGAATATGTTCACTTGAAACTTTTAACTTTTAGGAGCGTAAGTTTGGCGACGAGTAAGTTCTGTTATCGCAAACAGGTACATTTTTAATTTGTGATAATTATAACTGAACTGTGCGGTAGCCTCAGTTCTTAAACAAAATATCAGATTTAATTCGGCGCAGATTATTCTGATTCCACAAAATTATAAGCTTACATTTACCTTATTTAACACAAAAAGGGAAATGTAGAGGGTATCGAGTTTTTCCACAAAAAATTTTCTGGGTCACTCTAATGTAGAATGTTATTCTTAAACTTAATATGTTTACTACTCAATTTCATATCTTTAACAAAGACCACAATTCTAACTGTTCATTTAAATTTTGTTTCTTTGCAGGGGAAGCAGAAAAAGTCAAAACGTTAATCAGATTGCGAGCGGAACTATCTCCATTATTCACAGGCAAACGCAATGCCTCCAAATATGCATGGGCGTAAGTGAAAAAAAAAAATCAAAATCGTATGAGAACGTTTTTAATATTTAATAGTTAAAATAATTTAATTTATCGATTCGTTAATTTTTACTCAACAATTTATAACTTAAATTTCATTAATAGTCACCGTTTTTATTTGCGAAAGGTTTAGTACAAAAAAAAAAATATTTTCTAAAATAAAATTTATTTGTAAACGGAATTAAGGCGAGTTTTATGCACCCTACACTCATTCATCTCTCTTACTTTCTCTCCCCAACTTTCCATACCACCATCGTACTTCCTTTCGCTACTGGCTTCGCCGCTTTTAACTCAAATGTACCCATTTCACTTCTAACGCTTCCATCAATCATTCTCTTTTCCACCTAACCCCTCCAACTTTATTCCCAATCCAACTATTTGCAGGGTCGTCGAGCGCAAGTTAAATGTTCCGCTACCGCTTTCGAAGATCATCAAAAAATGGAACAATCTACTACAGGAATACAAGGTAAGTTACAGATCCAATTAGCAAAGAATTCTGCTTGATCACTTAAACTAATATCCACTTTTTTCATTCATTGCAACGTTCTTCCCAACCTTCCAATATCTCTCTCTCTCTCTCTCTCTCCCTTGTCTCTTGCGGCAACCTCTTCTCCTGCAGGCCATCAAGATGTCCGAAGAGCCGAAGCGTCGCGAATGGCCTTTCTTCACCCTCATGGACGTCTACTTCAGCGATCAGGTCAACGATCCTTCGCTGCGTCTATTCTCCTCCACGAAAACGCTTCGCGAAACCATCGACGACAGCGTCTTCGAAGAGGATCCCATAATTGTGTCCGCCATTGAGGCTGCCACTTCGGGAGCATACATGGACATTGATGAGCTGATACGGCGCCAGAAAGAGCGCGCCGAGAAGAAGTTTGCGCTGGGTGGCGGCAGCATTGGCGATTACAAATACGACATCAAACCAATGCTGCAGAACAGTAAATTCAACAACAACGATACGCTGAAGCTCTCGAAGAGCGTCGACGATCTGAGCATGCAACAGTACAAAATCAAGGACGAGCTGATGCGCCAACACGAGCAGGAACAGCAAGAAAACCTGCTCAAGATCAAGCAGCACGCGCGCCAACAACAACAGCAGGCACAACAGCAACAGGCCCAACAGCAGGCACAGCGCGAACGCGAACGTGAACGCGAGCGTGAACAGCAAGCGCAACAACAACAGCAACGCTATTTACACGCTGCGGCTGCTGGCCAACAAGCACAATTGCCGCCGCCACCATCGCCACATGCAGCACATCGGCTGCCACAGCAACCGACACCACCGCCGGGCCTACAACATGCCTTACAGCAACAGCATCAGCACTTGTTACAACAACATCAACAGCAGCAGCACCAGCAGCAGCAGCACCACCTCCACCATCAGCAGCAGCAGCAACACCAACAGCGTCAACAACAATTGCAACAGCAACAACAACAACAGCCACATCAACAACAACAATCACAGCAGCAGCAGCAGCAGCAGCAGCCACAACAATTGTCGCCTTCCATTACACTACCACCGCCACCCACACCGCCCACCACTGCACAGCAGATACACATCCAAACGGCACAACATCAGGCCACTCAACAACAGTTGCATTTGCAACAGCAACAACAGCACAATCCACATCATCCCCAACAGCAACAGCAGCCCTACGCCGATCCCAATACGATCGATCAGTACCTGTTGTCGTGGAACAATTTCCATGGCAATATGTGTCGCGGCTTCCACACGCTACAGAAGGACGAAAAGATGGTGGATGTGACTATTGCCGCCGGCGGGAAGATATTCAAAGCACACAAACTCGTAAGCATGTCAATGAAACTGAAAGGCAAGCCTTGGTGGAAACACGAAGGTCCTGTAAAATTCTGCTTAAGATTTTCGCAATGACTTACACCTTCTAACAATTCTAACTATAAATTCCAGCATGTGTTTCTAAACAGTATTTTCTATTTTTGCAACTTTTTACGAGTACTTTACCTTCTTTGCCTCTTATCACTGAAACGATTAGACTCGTTTTCGTCAGAGAGCTAATGAAGGACTTTCACTAGTCTCTTGTATAGGAAGAGTTGGAATATTGGTCCCCGAATGCCCATATGATTTGTTCCTACTCGCTATTCATTATTTTCCTTCATCCTTTTCGTCCATCATCTGCATAATCTGCAGTTCCGAAGGAATAGGCTAGGAAAGGAAAGTGTGGTTATTCCAGGTATATGTAGGTAATACTCGCGCCAATAAAAATATGCCAACATTTGCCAATATCGAAATCTTCCGTAGACAAGCCTGTTAAAAGGACAAAGCAAGGAACTTAGCTTCTTGAACTCTGGGCCGCTTTATGGAAAGTGATTAAATCGCATAATTTTCCAAAATGCCTTAATACTCCACGAAATTATGAGCTAAAGAAGCGACCCTGACTATCTTCAGTCCACCATGGCTATAATATTCTTGCGGTCCCACTGGTTTTTCTCCAGCACTTACTGAGCTGAAATGAAATCCATCTGTCTAGGAGCAGTCGACGGTTTTAGACGGTTTTTAGGGTGCCCTTCCTAGCCAATTCAAACCACATACGGTGTCATAGAATATCATCCGCTAGCATTCTTACAGGGCGATTGACACTCACGCCGTAATATTGGGAAACTTACCTGAATAATCTCAGTATTTTCTGTAAGATTGCCCAACCTTCGCGAAACTAATATGGAAACACTTTGTCTCGTACTTCCCGAGGAGCTCTCAGGCATTGACATTAGCCACATTCTTACTTTCGTAATGGGCTCGCGGAGTTTCGTTACCTAAAAAATTGATCTCCGTTCAGTTTTCGTAATATCACAAAGGACAATCTCTTAATTGTCCAAGTGCATCAATTATCTGGAACAACCACTATAATGCGACCTAACCTATCATTAGAAGTCAGACCGGGAAATATACCAGCGCAACGGATGAAGACGTAAAACATTTTGTGACCAGTTTTTGAAGCATCGTGAGCAAGTTCAAGACCCAGAATATCGCTTGGCTGTCAGAGTGGTTGTTTATCTCTCTAACGCCTTACCTAAGTATGTCACAGAGTTGACTAGTTAAACAGTGCTTTTAGACTGAGTATTGAAATGAAGGTAAGAGACGCATTCCCAGCAAATCACATAGGGAGCACAAACTTGTGAAAACCCTACACCTAAAGCAAACCCTCCCTCTCATGGTCTCCCCAACTCGGTCAAAGATCTTGCTTTGTGATCTGGTAACTCGGACTAATAAGAACCAGACAACCAGCAAGCGATAGAAGACCAACGATCTCAACCCGGTTAAGTCGCCGCAATAACAGGCCTAATAGGTCCGAACGGTCCCGGGTCATTCCGGTACGGTATATCGACGGGCCCCTCTCCTTCCGTTCCAACGCCGTCTGGGCCTACAGTTAGTACGGCTTGACCTTAACGATTGAAGGACAAAAGGGCCTAGTAGTGACGCTATAACAACAACAACACGTAAATTAACAGCTCTGTAGATAAACCAAGAACATACCCCGGCTGACCACTTCCTGCGTGACTCTTCATTATGGTCTTCAATCTATTGCCTAAAAAATTTATCTCAATAAGCATTATTTCTTGTGCAAAATTTTTAAGGTCTGTTAACTCTCGTAAGCAGTTTTAACTTTTTTTCCTTGTATTTTATTTCTTTTTCTTTTTTCATTGATATTTTCATCTTCTTCGCTTATAGTTACTATTTATTGAAGTTCTTGTTATTTGTTTTCCATCCCCCAGGTACTATCCGTTTGCAGTCCATACTTTCAACAAATATTCCTCGAAAATCCATCAAGTCATCCGATACTTTTAATGGCCGATGTAGAAGCTCCACACATGGCTGGTTTACTAGATTTTATGTACAGTGGGCAGGTAGGCTATTTGAAAAGTGCGCTAAAGTGAACCTGTACACATTTTTAAAAATCTATTTTTTAGGTGAATGTTAAATATGAGGATCTACCAGTTTTCCTGAAAGTAGCCGAAGCAATGAAGATCAAAGGATTACACACAGAGGTAAGTTGAGGTTGGAAACATTTAAGCAGGACGCATTAAATCATTTGATACGGCATGCCTATATAAGTGAACTAGGTGATCCACAATATTTCTTGGTTCACCGTAGTTTGATTGAAGAGGCAGAAAATAGGGCTTCTAAGCGAGGAATTCACAAATTCTCATATGCAACTTTGTACCTTATGTTAAAATTAATTTTAAATCACAACGCGGTTGAGAATTCCTCTTACATAGTTATAAGTAATTATCGAAAATTTAATTTAACCTCCACCCACCATTTTCCGTATTTTGTTTAGAAAAATATGAATGACGACAAGGATGGTGGATCTTCACATGATGGCGACTCGGTGACCACACCAACTGGCCCTGGCACCCACTGTCACTTCGATCGTTCCACACATAGCGTTAACATAACGGGCCACCCCTACGGCCAATCCCCATTACAACCTCTGCAACCGCATCAACAACCGCCAGCACCACCGCCACCACAATCTGGCGCCCAGGCGACGCTTGAGCATAGCATGAATGGCAATGGCGGACCACTCTCACCCTCGCCTGGCTATGCCAGTTTCCGTGATCACATCAAGTCTAAGGCCAGTTTTGCCGAAACGTTCATGAAGAATCTCAGCCGCAACAACAACAATAACAGCAGCATCAGTAATTACAATCACTTGGGCAATTCGTTACCGGAGTCGACCGCAGTGACCCGCAAACCTGATAATTTCGCCATTTTACAAGCGAACAGCAAGAAGATACTGGACACTTCAAGGAAACCACACAAATACCTGGCCAAACGTAAAATACTAATGCATTACAATGAGGAAATGAATGAGAAGCGCCGCAAGGAGATGGATTGCTATGGCAATGAGGGCGATGGCAGCAGCACACCCATGCCAGAAGTGACACTGGTGGAGCCCACCACAGTAGCAGCAGAACCGTTGGGTCTGACTTCAGCTATCTCAGTGAGCGCTATCGGTAATAGCGGAAGCAACAACTACAAAATACGACTCATGGAAAAACATCAGAATGACACTGCAGCAGCAGCAGCCGCCGCCGCCGCCGCCGCCATTTCTGCTAATGCAACAAAAAAGAACGACAACAATGGCAATACCACTAACGACAACAAGGAGTCAAATACGCATAAAGAGCCTAAGCCGATGGAAGAGGAAGCAACAGAAGCGTTGAATCTCGTACAAACGAATACCAGTTCAGGTGGAGCACACGATGGCCAGCGAAAAAACATAGCCGAGGCGGATGCGAGCGCCAAGGAGGAGCCAACTGCAGCCACGATCATACCGCTCGTGCCGCTTATCAACATCAAGGTGGAACAACCGGATTTGAGCTATAACATGGGGAACAATATTGGCAGCGGTCTCAGCAGTGGGACGAGCAGCAGCGGTTGCAGTATTGGCGGTCGCAGCAGTATGAGCACCTCCGATGAGGAGGAATTAGAGCGCGAACGTGAGCGGGAACGAGAACGAGAACTTGGAAGGGCATTGGAAAGAGAAAGGGAGCACGAATGCGAAAGAGAACTTGAGCGGCTGAGAGAACGTGAACGCGATCGGGAACACAGCCAACAATATCACGCTGAGTACAACAACGACAAAGGCATGGAAACAGATTCGAATAACAACAACAGCAAGGAGACGACCAATTTGAATAAGAATGCGGCGCTCATACACGCCATCACACGCAATTTGGAGCATCCGAAAAGTGACAACAACAACAATCACACAGAATTGGATCTGAGTAATACGCATTTGGGGAGTTTGGGTTTAGTGGCGGGCCTAAACGATAACGAAACTGTAAAGAATATAGCGACAGCGGAAATTTTGTGCGGCCTAAAGAGTAAAGTTTTCAAAATGGAGAAACTAGATGATGAGCGGGAACGAGAACGTGAGAATTGTCGAAATTTGAGTGAGATAAAAAATGCCGGCGATTGACAAATGAGCGCGTTGAGACGCACCGCGCATTGAGTGGGAGTTGGAAAAGAAGTAGGGTGGGAATAGCGGTTTAATAGAGTATGCAAAATGCGTACGAAGCAATCAAACAACCCGGGCAGCTTTAGTAGCTAAAAAAGGGTGGGTCTGATGAAAACTAAATTGTTGAAACTTTCTTTTGCAGAAAATTTAATTGAGTAGCCAAAACGCGGGGCGGAGCGTTTTATTTTATATAGTTCATATGTTGAAGTGCATTTGTTTTATTTTTTATAATTTTTGTTTAATTTATAGTTATTTATTTTTACATTTATGCATACATACATACATATTTTTATTTAATCCATTAACTTAGTAGGTACGCATGTGTAGGTACATAGAAGTAGAAGCAACACTTTAAATAATTTAAGTTAAAACTAAAAATTAGAGTTAAGAAAAAAGTAAAAATCATTGATGCAAAGCGAAAAACCGGGGCAATGAGAAGTTAAAAAATCAAATCGGTTTCTAAGAATTACGATTTCGGAAGCAGACAAATGAAAAAGTAAAATAAAATTAAGATTCTTAAACAACAAAGTCTCGAAAATAAATATATTTTTAAGAAAATAGGACGTATTTACATTCAAAAAATACAATTGAAATTTTATTCTCCTTCTATTGTTTCAAAAATATTAAAAAAAAACTTCGCTTAAAGGAAAACAAAAAAATTAAATAAATACATATATATTTGCTGAAACACTAAAAAATGTTAATTTGTTAAAAAAAAATTATCGAATAAAATAAACACGAACTCATTCATATAATTTTACCCGATCCATACGCATATTAAACTAAAATAAAATGTAAAACAATGAAAAAATTATATATTGTTTTTTTAACTGTTATTGCTGCAGCTTAACTTGCCAGCCCTATTTTAACATCTCTTTTGAAAATTATTTATACATTTTTATTGTCAAATAATAGCAAAAGAGTGAAGAAAAAAACAAAAAAAATAAATAACAAATAATAAATATAAAAAACGTTAAGCAAAACATGCCTTAAAATCCTCAGAAAAAGCAAGTGTTTTCAAAAATATTTCTATTTGTAATTTATTATAGTATTTAAGCGCATTGTAAACCTTTAAAGTGACAACTAAGGGGCGTAAGGCAATACATACTGAGGCTGGAAAATTGGCATAAAAACAAAAAATAAATAATATTTAAAATATTCAAAATTTTTTCTCACAATTATTCGAAATATTTATAGGGTAAAATTAACCGGTTTACAAAAAAAAAATATTAAAACTTTCTACTGCTAAATAAAAAAGTTTTAACTAACTTTTGGTAATAAAAAATAAACATAAGTTTCAAAAATATTATACATATGTACCCTAGGGCGGGTTAATTTTTTTTTACTATGTGCATATAACATAGCAAGATTCTATGTATAATTATGATCGAATTTTCCGAGGAAACTATGGGTCTAAAATCAATTTGTAATTTGCCAAATTGCGAAAATAGATTTCGAAGAAATTGTGAAAATTTTCACTTTTGCCCCTGTTGCTCTGGTGAAAGTTATAAAAAAAATTTAAGTGCATAAACGATTTTCTCATACCAAAAACCGCGTAAGGCACGTTTTTATAAAAAAATTTAAGCACAATTTGGCCACCTCCAAATTGATTTTAGATACATAGTGTCTTCGACAAATTTGCTAAGAATTATACGTAGCATCCTTCTGTACTATAAGCGCATAGTCTAAAAAATCTCCCATATCTACAAATGGGCCCACCCTAACACACATATATAGATATTTTTTTTTAATTTTCCCCGCGCCTTTTGTTTTACGCCCTTTTAGAATTAAAAAAAAAATACTTTTGTTTTGTTTTGAAAACTTTGTTTTAACAAAAAAAATAACATTTACAGCCTTTTTCTTGTTGTCACCGAATAGTTTCTAACCGGAAAATTGAAAAATTTTATTAACAAAAAAGTAAACGAAAACCTTAATCACAGGCTACAAAACTTTTGTTACCTGTTACTACTTATATCTCAATTTTTCATACACTTGTACTACAGCACCCACACATACAAACATGCATGTACAATTTTCATAAGTAAAAAATTTTTAGTCCCTTACCTAACTAAAAAAAATTTTAAATAAGCTAATTTTTGTTTATGTACATTAAGTTCAATTAAACGCAAGCACACAAGCAACCATTTTACAATATTCACCTAAACAGTAATAATTTGTACAGTACGGTAAAATGACCGCTAGGAAAATTCACCACTATGGTCGGTTTCACGCTGGAACATTTCTGACGCCAGAACAACTCTGTTTGTTGGCAAGAGAAGCGGTGGGGTGAGATATTTTTTTCAAAAAGTTATTCCAGCTTCTACCCCGCATTAAAGCGGCATTTCTCTTGCAGCGCACTAACACATGTGCAATTACGAAAATACCGCTGCTCAATTTTCAAGCACAAAATTTACTAATCTACCCAAATGTCCTATACTTATACACATTTTGTTCTGCTGGTTTTCATCTAGTAGTGTGAAACATTGAGATGAATTCTTCTGTCAGAGGGCACTGCAAAGAAAATCCATAGAATATAATTGAGCACTTAAAACGTTATTGGAATTAATCAGCATTAAAGTAGTTCAAAATCCAATGTTTTGTGGTTAAAAATGCAATCCGAAACTTGCAATGGCATCGCAATGATAAACAATTCTCCACACAACTCTCTTCAACATATTTCACCACAGTGCTATCGTAGCAACAGTGGCTCCTAAACTATGCGCAGCAGTGTTAAAAATTCAAATATGTAATTAAAAAATCGCTAATGGTGTGTTGAGCTATCTTTGTCGCTATACAGCCAGCGGATCCATAATATTTCTTACCCACATACATATTTATTTAACTACTCTCTATTTAAACATATTTACATAAATATGTATGAACATATACATAAAAATTTACATACATACATACTAATGTACTTAGCGTGAATACATTTTTTTTCCAATTATGTAAAAAGTATTCAAAAACTTTAATTGAACTCATTTACAAACAAACCAACATACATATTGTACAATTAATAAATTTTTTTCTTTGATGTATTTTAAATAAAAAAAAAATTTGTTAAATTTAAAATTGTTCAATAAAGTAGACCACATAATTTAATTTTTATAAAAATGGAAAATTCCTAAAAAATAGACATTTTTGTTTTATTTTCACGAAAGCAATTCTTAAGCAAGGTGATGGCAAATTAATTTTTGGCGTATAAGTAGACAAGTAGACACTCAGGAATCAATTATCGCATAAAATCGTCATTATGGTGCACTTCTCGTAAACAAGCTCCGCCATGGTCAGTTCGTCTACTCTATCGTTGCCTTCTGTGTTGCTATGGGCGGGAACCTAGACACGATAGATGGGCATTAACTGAGACGCCGAGCGCGGCTCCATCTTACATTCATATGCCCGGAAATTCAGCCTTAACCAGTAATACCAAACTCCTCGGAATATACCCCTGTCCTTACACCGAAGTTCATCTTATATCCGTCAGTATATATATATAGACGGCTTCGTTATCGACAGCTTGGCCCTTATCCATTTCCTTCTGGATGGAAACCTTAGCTGTACATTTAAACCAAAATCGAGGCTTGATACCATTATTCCGTGGTTTTATTATCTACCGAGGTAAGGCCTAATATTGAGCTATGCGCAAAGGTTCCCGTACCCCTTCTTGAGAGTACAAATGAACATTTCGGGACCTATTTAGGTGCATTTAGCGACTGTTCGGGATCATTTACTGATCGTTTTGGGACAAGTTTTGGACCATTTAGAGCCTAGTTCTAGGCTGTCGTAGGCCACAGGACTATGGCGGGTGCAGTGGTGTAGTGCTCAGCAGTGTGCGCTACTATTCCGCAGGGACTAGGTTCAACCCAACATCCAAATATAAGAAACAAAAAATAAAAGGTATTTTTCTAATAGCGGTCGCTTGGGCAAACACTAATATATGTATAAGTGCCATTCTATTATTGTAATATTATTATTATCGTAGGACCATTTGATGACTGGTTTGGAATTATTTTGGGACTAGTAAGAGGCTACATAAATAACTAAATACATTTCGCGGCTAGTTTGGGATCGTTTTGGGACATTTTTAGGACTATTTCAGGTCCATTTAGGGTCTAGTTCTGCCTGGTGAGGACTATTTAGGGACTAACTGAGAACTAGTTCAGGTAATTTTGGGACTAATTCAGGGTCATTTTGGATCAAGTTCGGGATTACTTCGGCGTAGTAGAGTTCTGTGCTATTCACGAAATGGTTATGAAAAAGTCGTGTACTGGTTCCGAAAAAGTGAAGAAAATTAAAAAAAATTTATATTTTATTTCGTTCTACCTATGCTTTGCCAAGCTGCACACAGACTTTAACACATTAAATTTCATGAGTGCCTGGTACTCGCACCTTGTTTTTACTAAAAATCCGAGGCATCAAGCATTACACCAAAGTATCATCGTCCATGCTGTTACATGGGTGGCAGTTGGCAAAGGTGAAAGCGGTACACAGGCATGGTGGCAAAGTCCAGGTTAACTTGCCGGAGGGGGGGAAGGGGTAATTTTCGCCCACCTTTCCTACCCTACGTAAACAAAATTGTCATGCCTACTCATCAGTACTAACAAAATTAAGGAAAAAGTAAAAGAAAAGCTGAACAGAAGGCCCGTCCTGTCCGATGGAGTCGTTCCTCCCACTTGTGCTTACGCAGCCATGGGCGTTGCTCTGATTCCTACTGTTGCTGTGGGACCGAAATCAAAGTGTTAAATTTAAAATTAATTGAGATAAAAAAAAACAAAACAAAGAATCTTTAAGTGTAAAATGAAATCAAACTGGGACGCCAGAAAACAAAAGAAGAAAAAAAAAATAAGTGCCGGTGTTAATCCAAAACCGAGACCAACCAAAAAGTTTACCGGCTATATGCGTATGCCCATATATAATTTCAATAAAAACAAGAAAACGAAAAATAGATGTTAAAATTCTGGCGTACAAAAAACTTGGATTTGAAGTCTCTAAGTTAACAGAACGGATATGCCATCCGTCCGATTGTTTGCCTTGGTAGTCAGGTGCAAAAGCACTACAAAAATTGTCATATTACATTTTAAAAACTACGCAAGTTTGCTTTACTCTGGGTCTAATGCAGATAAACGGCAGCACTCTTTACTGCTACAAGAAGAAGTGAGGTATTCGGACAAAAATTGAAAACAAAGAGACGTCTAAAGACCTTCTGTGTTATGGTTGGCTTAGGAGGTCGTATATGGGATGTTCCATACTTTCACTACCAGAAGGAGACACGTACCCCTAAACTAGGGGTTCCTATTTAGGGAGAAACTAAATACTTTCATGGCATTAACCTGCTCTACCACTCTTTGATATTCTATTATGTACTTTCAAGGCTGCTTGATTAACGACAAAGATAGTAGCTTTATCGTCTGGCACCATGCTGTTGAGTAAACGAGTGACCGCCCTCTATATTTCGTACATCTCTGCTTGGAAGGCACTGTAATACTTTGGTAGACGAGAGGGCTATTTGATCTACAGCCCATCCGAGTAGAGACCGGTTCCGGTTACTA